CGACTACGACGATGACGAATGCGACTACGGCTACGACGACGCCTACGAAGACGACGGCGACAACGATGACGACGACGGGGGTGACGACACTAAGGACGAAACCGAAACCGACGACTACGACGACTACGGCGAGGACGAGGACGATGCCGACGGCTAAAACGATGACGACGGCGAGGGCGACGATGACGGCAATCACGGGGTCGAGGACGAAAGTGCTGACGACGACGACCTTAACGACGACCTTAACGACGACAACAACGACGACGGAGGACGACGACGACGAAGACAGCGAGGACGACGACGATGACAACGACGGCGGCGGCGACGACGACGAGGGCGTCGCCGACGACAACCGCGACGACGAGGATGACATCGACGACGACGACGACGAGGACACCAACGACGACGAAGACGACGACGACGAGGACAGGGACGACGACAACGATGACGAAGACGACGACGCCGACGACGACGACGACGACGAAGAGGACACCAACAACGTGGACGACGACGTCGAGCACGACGACGGCTACGACGATAGCTGGGACGACGGGGACCACGACTACGAAGCTGGCGACGGCGGCTGCCGACGGCTACGCCGACGACGGCGAGGACGAGGGCGAGGACGAAGACGGCGACGAACACGAGCACGGCGACAAGGACGACGACGACGACTACGGCTACGACGACGACGAGGTGGACGACGACGACGACAGCGGTGGCGACGACGAGAACGACGAGGAAAAAGACGACGACGACCACGACGGCTGCAACGACGACGACGAAGGCCACGACGACGAGAACGACGACGCGGGCGACGACGACGACGAGGACGACGACGAAGACTACGACATCAACGATAACGACGACGACAATGAGGCCGACGACGACGACCTGGAGGACGACGGTGACGACGAGGATGTGTTCGAAATCGGGAACAACGACGACGCCGAAAACGGCTACGACAACGGCTACGACGGCTACGACGACGGCTATGACAACGAGGACGACGACGAGGAAAACGACGACGCTGATGACGGCTACGACGACAGCTACGACGGCCATGGCGATGACAGCGACGTGGGCGACAACGACGACGACGAGTACTACAACGCTGACGACGTCGACCACGACAACGACGACGATAACGAGAACAACGACGAGGACGACGACAACGGTGGACGTGAACGAGGAGGAAGACGACGACAACGGCCAGGACGCCGACATCGACGGCGACGACGACGATAATGTCGACGAGGCGGAGACAGCGACGGCGACGACGAAGAGGACGGCAACGATGAGGACGCCGACTAAGAGGACACCGGCGACGAGGACGACGAAGACGACTCAGAGAACGACCACGACGACGAAGACGACGACAGCGACGACAAAGAGGACGACGACGGCTACGACGACGCCGACGGGGATTGCGATGACGACGGCGTCTGCGAGGATGACGGCAACGAGGACGAGAAGGAGAACAACGACTACAAGAACGACGACGGCGAGGACGAGCACGAGGACGAGGACGATGCCAACGGCTACGACGATGACGGCGACGAAGACGACGAGGAGGATAATGAGGACGACGACCACGACAGCGACGAGGACGACGATGATGGCGACGACGGCAGCTACGACTTTGACGACGAGGACGGCGACGAAGACGACGAAGGCGGCGAGAACGTCGACGATGACAAGGACGGCGACGGCGACGACGGCGACGACGAGGTCGACGACGACAACTACGACGACGAGGGTGACATCGACGACGAGGTGGAGGACGACGACGACGAGAACAGCGGCGACGAGGACGACGAGGACGACGACGACGAGGACAGGGACAACGACCTCGATGGTAACGACAACGACGACGCCGACGACGACAACGACTGCGAAAACAACGAAGAGGGCAATGACGTGCACGACGACGGCGGCCACGACGGCTACGATAACAGCTACGAAAGGGGGCGACGACGACGGAGACGATTACGACAATGACGACGACGGCTGCGACGACGACGATAGCGCTGACGACGACGGAAAAAGACGAGGGCGAGGACGACGAGGACGACCACGACGACGACGACAACGACGGCTACGACGACGACGGGGTGGACGACGACGACGACGACGACGACGACGACATTGACGACGACGACGACGAGAATGACGAGGATGAAAACGCTGACGACGACGGCTACGACGACGACGAAGGCCACGACGACGAGAACGACGACGATGAGGACGACGATGGCGACGACGACTGTGAATAGGACGGCGAAGAGAACGCCGACGACGAAGACGACGACGACAGCGACGACGACGACGACGAGGGCGAATACGACGTCGAGGATGAGGTCGAGAACGAGGACGACGACGACGAAGACGGCTACGACGACGGCTACGACGGCAACGGCGACGGCTACGGCACCGACGACGACGAGGAGGAGGACGACGGCGGCGATGACGGCTACGACGACAGCTACGATGGCTACAACGAATACGACGACGAGGACAACGACGAGGACGACGACGACGACGACCCTTTCTACAACGCTGGCCACGGCGACCACGACGACGACGACGACGTCAACGAGGACGAGAACGACGACAACGGCGACGACGACAACGACGACGACGTCGATGACGACGACGGCGAAGACGAGGACGACGACTACGACGACGACGACGACGACAGCGACGACGACGACGAGGGCGAAACCGAGGAGGAGGGAGAAGACGACGTCGACGGCCAGGACGGCGAAGACGACGGCGACGACGACGACGGGAACTTGGACTAATGCGACGACGGCGACACGGACGATGAAAAGAACGAAGACGACGAGGGCGGCGAAGACGACTACGAGGGCGACGACGACGAGGACGACGGCGATGAAGACGACGACGGCGACAACGGCGACGACGAGGACGACGATGACGACGTTGACGACGATGGGGATGACGATGAGGACGAGAACGAGAACATCGACTACGCCGATGACGGCGAGAACGAGGACAAGGCCGACGGCTACGACGATGTCCACGCCGAGAACGACGATGAGAACGCCGCTGATGACGACGGCGACAATTATGAGGACGACGGCGACCACAACGACGACGGCAAAGACGAGGACGAGAACGAGGACTACGGCGACGACTACGACGACGGCGGCGACGAAGGTTTTTTGAGCTCCAGGCTCTCTGTCCGCCACGTTTAGCCAGGCACCCTACGGCGGAGGAGATAGCCTGCGGCGGCGACGAAGAAGTCGAACACGAGGAGGAGGAGGACGGCGACGACGACGACGGCCAGGACGACGACGGCGACGGTGACGACGACGATGAGAACGAGGACTGCGGCGACGACGGCGACGGCGACGACGAATGGGACATCGACGACGAGGAGGGCGACGCCGAAGATGACGACGAGGACGACGACCACGACGACGAGGACAGGTACGACGACCACGATGCCGACGACCCCCGCCGACGACGACGACGGCGAAGACGACGACAACGGCGACGAGGACAACAACGCGGATGACAACGGCGACGACGACTGCTATGACGACAGCTACGACAGTTGGGACGACGACGACGACGGCGACGGCTACGACGACGACGACGGCGACGACGATGACGACAACGAGGACGACGGCGAGGACGACGCCGGCGAGGACGACGATGACGAAGACGACGACGACGGTGATGACGGCGAGGACGACGACGACGACGAGAACGAGCACGACGACTGTGACGACGACTGCGAGGACGAGGACGAGGACAAGACAAACGGCTACATCGACGACTACGACGAGAATAACGATGAGGACGGCGCTGACGACGACGACGAGAATAATGAGGACGACGACCGCAACGACGACGACGACGACGACGCAGACGAGGACGGGAACGATGACTACGCGGCGACGACGACGACGGCGACGACGACGACGATAACAACGACAAGGACGTAAACGAGGAGGAGGACGACAACGTCGACGGCCAGGACGACGACCGCGACGGCGAGGGCGACGACGACGACGAGGGCTGCGGCGATGACGGCGACGGCGACGAGGAAGAGGACGACGACGATGAGGACGACGCCGAAGAGGACGACGACGACGGGGACGACGACGACGACGACAGGGACGACGACCACGAAGATAACGACGACTCCGTCGACGACGAAGAGAACAATCACGTGGACGACAACGGTGACGACTACGACGACTGCTACGACGATGTTTTTGACGAGGACGGCGGCAACGTCTACGGCGACGGCCACGACGATGACGACGACGACGGCAAGGACGATCGCGAGAACGAGGAGGACGACCACGACGACGACGACGACATCGACGATGACGACGACGGGAACGACGAGGACGAAGACGACGACGACCACGATGGCTACGACGACGACTACGACGAAGGCCACGAAGACGACGACGACGACGACAAGGACGACGACGAAGACGACGACGAAGACGACGACGACATCGACGTCGACGACGACGAGGTCGAGGACGAGCTCGAGGACGACGACGACGATGACGAGGATTGGGTCGATAACGACGACGACGACGACGACGACGACGACGACGACGACGACGACGACGGCTACGACAAGGGCTACGACGGCTACGACGACGACAACCACGACGACGACGAGGACAACGACGACGACGTTGGCAAACACGAGGACGAGAAAGAGGCCTACGGCGACGACGACGACGGCGACGACGAAGAGGACGAACATGTGCATGAGGACGACGACGGCGACGGCGACGGCCATGACGACGGCGGCGACTGCGACGACGACGACGACGACAACGAGGACTACAGCGACGACGGCGACGGCGACGACGACGAGGACGACGATGACGACGGCGACGACGATGACAACGCCAACGCCCGGAGACCCCCCCGCGGGCGCCGAGCGCCTCGCCCGCGCGCCCGCTCTCCGCCGGCTTCGCGGCGCGCCCCCGGGCCTCCTCCGCGGCGGGCCGCCGCGCTGCCCCGGCGGCCTCGCGCGGTCTCGCTCTGCTTTGCCCGTGTACAGGGTTAGGTCGGGAACGGAACGGAACGGAACGGAACGGAACGCCTATGCGGGCATGCGCCCAGGCCCCTTAAGGGCGAGGCGGATGAGGCCGTGGCCTCGCATGAGAAGCTGCGCGCGTCGGGGGTCTACTCAGGACAATGCGTGCTTCAGGAGCTGATTTCCCGACAGTCCCGACTCATCCGTTTTCTCATGATGTAGCCACGGATTACTCCGTATTAAATCGGGCCGATATCCAAAAAGTAGCCAAAAAACGATCCAGGGACGACGTTGTGACTGTCGTTGGCCATTTGGAAATCTGTGTTGACTGTGTTTCATTTTTCGTCCAAACTCAGCCTCTAGGGAGACATGCCCGACCTGAGGGTAGAGACATACACACACACACTGAGGCCCTGAGATACACACTTACGGAGGCCCCAAGAGGCGCCCAAGAGGCGCCTAAGAGGCCCCCAACAGGCCCCCAACAGGCCCCCAAGGGGATCAAACGCGGCCCCAAGAGGTCCCAAAAAAGGCCTCGAAGAGGCCCCAGAGAAGCCTCCCACGAGATCCCAGCGGACAACCAATAGGCTTCAAACCCACAACCCTGCAGGCACAGTGGCGGGATGGGCCGAAGACCATTCCATAGAGATACGCGCAAATATGGCGGGCTCCAGAAACCCGAGAGAGCGTGATCCACCGCCGCTTTACTGTGGAAAATTGCCAACTTTTTCCTCCGGAACCCGGGGGTCGCCCCCCCCCCCCCCCCTCCGAAAACCCCCCCCCCCCCCCTGCCTGAACCCCTCCCCCCCCCCCCCCCCCCCCTCCTCCCCGGCAAAACCCCCCCCCTCCCCTAACCCCTCCCCCCCCCCCCCCCCCCTTCGAAAACACACTACCGTTCGAACCCCTCCCCCCCCCCCCCTACCCTCCGGATCCGGAAAACTGGAGGGGGCCACTACCGGTTCGCACCCCCCCTTCCCCTTTCCCCCCCCCCCCTACTCACCGCCAGCAAACGACTCCCGGTCCCCACCACCGTCCGCATCACATCCCCCACTGGTGTTCCCAGCACCACTGTCCTCACCACCGCTGTCCCCACTGGTTCCACCACCGCCCCTACTGTCCCCACCAGTGGCCCCACCACTGTCGCACTGTCCCCGCTGTCCCCAGAACTGTTCCCACCACGGTTCCACTCTCCCCACTGTCTCCACGGCCCCAACCACTGCCCGACTATCCCCACTGTCCCCACTGTCCCACTGACTCCTCCGCTGTCCCACTGAGCTGTCCCACTGTTCCCACCACTGTCCCCACTGTCCCCACCACTGTCCCCACTGTACCTCTGTCCCATTGTCCCACCGCCGTCCTCGCCACCGCCTTCACCACTGTCCCCACCACCATTGTACCCTCCACTGTCCCACTGTTTCCACCTCATTCCCATTGTCCCCACACCACTGTCCCCACCACCACCGTCACCACCACTGTCCACTGTCCCCCCCTGTGTCCCACCATTGTCCCCACCACTGTCCCCACCACTACCGTCCCCACCACTGTCCCACTGTCCCACTGTCCCCACCACTGTCCCGCTATCCCCTCACCACTGTCCCCACCAACACCGTCCCCACCACTGTCCGCACCCCCACTCGGTTTTCGAGGGGGGGGGGGTTCGAACCGGTAGTGACCCCCCCCGGTTTTCCGGATCCGGAGGGGGGGGGGGGAGGGGTTCGAACCGGTAGTGACCCCCCCCCCTTTTCATGATGAGCTGGGGGGGGGGGGGGGAGGGGTTCGAACCGGTAGTGACCCCCCCCGGTTTTCCGGGGGGGGGGGGGGGGAGGGGTTCGAACCGGTAGTGACCCCCCCCGGTTTTCCGCCAGCAGCGGTAGAACACGCTCTTTCAGAAACCCTGAAACCACAACTTGTCCATCTCCTGGGTGCGAATCTCTCACCTCTGCCGGCTCCCGCCACCCTTCCGCCCGCTCTCGCCGGCGGAGCCGCCCTCGTTCTACTTCCGCCGACCCGACCTTCCGCCGACCCTTTGTTCTCGACGCGCCCAAATGGACGGCGCCGACACCACGGCAAACCCACGGCAAATCCCGCGCCCCGCGCCCCAGCAGACGACGCCGGCGCCGCGGCAAGACCACGGCGAACCCACCGCGCCCGAAGCGGCGTTTGCCCCGGTGGCCGCGGCGCCCTCCCCAAGACGGAAGGCCGCGCGTCGGAACACACGGCGCGGCGACGCAGGAGGCGTTCCAGAAAGCTCGCACTCGAGGACAGAAGTAACCGCGACAAGTCTTTAGAGCCCCACACCAGTAGCGTGTGACAAATTATTGTTCGGCGGAGTTCTCGAAGGACTGGGGTCCCACCAATAGGGGCTAACAACTTATTTTGCCCCGCGGCACCCACCGTGCTTGTGCTGCTTGTGATTTGAGCAGGGGCCGACCGTCCCGGCATTCCTATAAGCCTACTACGACATATTCTTAGAACCCCAAAATGTTCTAAGAACAAACAACTATGTTCTCATGACATAACCCCGATGGCTAAAACAAGACAGTCCTAGCCAGAAATGCTCTGAGAGCATCTCGTGGGAACCGCAAAAACAAAGGTCTTAGAACAGTGTTGGGTAGGCCTAGAGGCGAGCTAAGACGCTTCGCCACAGCTCGAGTGCTGTGACGCCGCGCCCGTGCGCCGGCGTCCCTGCCTGCGCTCGGCCGGACACGGTGCAGAGTCGCTGGGCCCTCGGGCGGCTCCGCGCCTCCAGCCCAGACCCCCGACGCAATGATTTGTTCGTTACGTCGCCCCCCCAGAGGCCCCGACCCTTCCCCCAGGACCGGCTCTGCCTCCTGACTCGTTGTTTGACGCTCCCGAGGCCCGGTGGGGGCCCCCGGAGGCCGAAAATCCCACCAGCCCTCTGGGCGTGAGTGGTTTAGAGAGCTCTCTCTGTCCTCAACCCCCCTTCTTCCCCTTCGGGGAGGGGTTCACCCCTCCCCCTACCCCCTCCCCCTGGGCCTGGAGAGGGCGGGCCGAGCGTCGTCAGGGGGGTCTTTTTCGACTCCTGGGAGGGCTAAAGAACGACGACCCTCACGAGGATTCTGGCCCCGACGGGGGGACCGAGTTTGGCCCCTCTGCTCTTCTTTGAAACCAAAATCATTGATTTTACTACGGTTTTGGCCCCATTTTGGCGTCCTGAGGGGGTCGCGCTCATCGTCCTTCATAGCAAAATCATTGATTTTACGAATGTTTTGGGCTCATTTTGTCCTTCTCAGGGGGCAGCTCTCATTTGCGCTTCTGAGGAGGTCGCAAGAAGCCCCAAGATGGCCCCAAGAGGCCCCCAGGAGGCTCCCAAGAGGCCTCCAAGAGGCCCCCCAGAGGCCCCCAAGCGGCCCCAAGAGGCCCCCAAGAGGCCCCCAAGAGGCCCCCAAGAGGCCCCAAGAGGCCCCAAGAGGCCCCCAAGAGGCCCCCAAGAGGCCCCCAAGAGGCCCCCAAGAGGCCCCAAGAGGCTCCAAGAGGCCCCCAAGAGGCCCCACGAGGAGCCCGAACGACTCACACCAGGACGAGGGGCCCGAACGACTCACACCACGAAGAGCCCGAACGACTCACACCACAAGGAGGGGCCCGAACGACTCACACCAGGACGAGGCGCCCGAACGACTCACACCACGAGGAGCCCGAACGACTCACACCACGACGAGGGCCCCGAACGACTCACACCACGAGGAGCCCGAACGAGTCACACCAGGAGGAGGGGCCCGAACGACTCACACCAGGACGAGGGGCCCGAACAACTCACACCACGAGAAGCCCGAACGACTCACACCAGGACGAAGAGCCCGAACGACTCACACCACGAAGAGCCCGAACGACTCACACCAGGAAGAAGGGCCCGAACGACTCACACCAGGACGAGAAACCCCAAACGACTCAAATCACGAGGAGCGCTTTCTCTCCCTCCTCCTCCGCCTCGTCCTTCTCCCGCTCCCCCCACAAGGAGGATGTACAAGGAGGCGGGAGGAAGGAGGAACAGGGGAGATATGCGGGGCCAAGCGGTCACACGCCTGAAAAACACGACTGTCGGCATGCTTCGCAAGAGTTGCTGCTGTGAGATGGGCTGGTGGGGATACGCGAAGCGTAAAGAATTCAGAAAAGCCTTCCGTCATGATTTTTTCATTGCTCGAGGGGGTCTGGGAGGGAGGCTGGGCAACCCGCCGAGCTCCGACCGGCCCGAGGCCCGGCACCCCGCCCGCGAGGCCGCCGAGACGCGCCCTCCCGGGGCCTGCGAGAGAGAGACGGAGCCAGGAGGAACCGGGGGGGCGATACCTGAGGAGGAGGAGGAGGAGGAGGAGGAGGAGGAGGAGGAGGAGGAGGAGGAGGAGGAGGAGGAGGAGGAGGAGGAGGAGGAGGAGGAGGAGGAGGAGGAGGAGGAGGAGGAGGAGGAGGAGGAGGAGGAGAGGGAGGAGGAGGAGGAGGAGAGGAGAGAAGGAGGAGGAGGAGGAGGAGGAGGGGAGGAGGAGGAGGAGGTGAGGAGGGGAGGAGGAGGAGGAGAGGAGGGGGAGGAGGAGGAGGAGGAAGGAGGAGGAGGAGGAGGAGGAGGAGGGAGGAGGAGGAGGAGGAGGAGGAGGAGGAGGAGAGGAGGAGGGGAGGAGGAGGAGGGGGGAGGAGGGAGGAGGAGGAGGAGGAGGGAGAGGAGGAGGGAGGAGGAGGAGGAGGAGGAGGAGGAGGAGGAGGAGGAGGAGGAGGAGGAGGAGGAGGAGGAGGAGGGGAGCGGTGGGAGAGAGAGAGAGAGAGAGAGAGACGCGCACCTCTCGTGCACCCGTTGGGGGCCAAGGGGGCCCCTTTCAGGGCACAAGAGGTGCACCTCCTGCTTCACCGCCCCTGAGACGAAGCCAGTAGGGGGCCACATGCGAACCCTACCCCTACCCCCACCGATTTCTGAGGGGGAGGGTGGGGTTCACTTCGTTCGGGAGCTCCCGAGCGAAGTGAACCCCACCCTCCCCCGCAAAAATCGTGGGGGGTAGGGGTAGGGTTCGCATGTGGCCCCCTAGCCAGGACGAGGCTAAAATCGGGCAAGGGAAAATCGGGAATCTCTCAGATCTGGCGGCTCTGCAAGGTGTCGCGGGCGCCGTGGCCTCCCCAGAGCGCTCTGAGAACTTTCTGGAACGCTCTGGAACGGATTGATCCTCGTCCCAGCCCCGTCAGATGCAATCCACTTTCACTGCCTCAGGGCTCTGTAGCGGCTCGAAGCAGATGCACGGCGCAACTCGGTTCCCTCAAACATTACCCTGGTAGTACACAGATCTCGGCGCCGGCCCTGTTGGATGGCACCATGCAGAGGCCCTGGACGAGCCTCTGGAGGGTCAAAAGGCTGAACAAAAACGGGGCGTCGCGACTTTGGCCGCAGCGCCTGGGGGCCTGGGCCCTGCAGGGGGGCCTCAAACCGATCCTAGGGCCAGTCCTGGGGTGCATCCTGGGCAGAAGCTCGCGGCGAATCCGCCTGCGGCAACACGGGCCTCCCGGGAAGCCGTCTTCGACGACGGCGGCGGCGACGACTACGACAACGACACCGACAACGACACCGATGGCGACGGCGTCGACGGCGGCAGCGTCGTTGATGATGACGATGAAGACACTAACATCAACGACAAGGACGACAACGACAACTAGCCTGTCAACAGCGGAGGCGAGAGAGAGAGAGAGAGAGAGAGAACTGCGAATGCGCGATTTCTCTCAAACATGGATATCGGCACCTTTTTCGTCCTGAAAGCGTCCACTACGGTCCAAGGAGCCCACACGATCGTCCCAAGACGGCCCTACGAGGCCCCCAAGAGGGCCCCAAGACGGCCAAATAGAGCCCTAAGAGGGCTCTAGACGGCCCCAGGGGCCCCGAGCACGACACAGGATGGCCCCACGAGGGGCCACTCGAACTGACATATCGAGTCTTTCCCGTCATGATGGCCCCAAGAAGATCCCTCAGGAACCCCCGAGGCGCCTACAAAGGACCCCGAGAGGCTCCCGAAAGGCTCCCACGATGCCTCCAATCGGCCCCCCAACGCAAGTAAGACGCCCTCAAGAGCCCTCCAAGAGTCCCCCGAGAGGCATTCCAGGATGCCCGCAGATGCATCCCGGAGACTCATGGCCCACAGACCAGGCACGGTGGCACGACTCTTGCGGAATTCACTGTGGTGGGGGTTGGCGGGGTGGCGTAAGCCTCTTCAGGAACTGGTTAGTCTGTGCCATACGGCGGCGGCGACTACGACGACGGAGAGAAGGAGGACGGCAACGACGTCGACGACGTCGCCGACGAGGGCGGCGGCGACGACGAGGACGGCGGCGTCGACGACGGCGCGACTTCGGGTCGGACTAAAGGGAAGCGCAGCAAAGCGGTGGGGATAGCGAAGGAGCTCACGTGCCTGGCTTCTCCGGCGCCACTCGGCGCCGGGAGGCGCAAGCGCAGTAGGGGAACGCGCTCGGCGGTGGGGCCGAACGCAGCGGCGTACAGCAGTGTCAGTGCGGCGAGGGCATTGGATGAGAAGTCTTTGGACAAGGAATCTCGGGTCTGGAGTTAAGTCGGGCCTGTCCCCCTACAGGGAAATTTTCGACGAAAAATCAAACATATCCCAAAAATTCCCCATAAAGGTAAAAAAATACTAGAAAAATAGTCCCCAGACTATTTGCGGACTATTTTTGGGATATTTTTTGTCTTTCGTCGAAAATCCCCCTGTAGGGGGACAGGCCCGACCTAAGTCTGGAGGCCAGTGGAACTCCAATGATGGAGTGGCCATGGATATCACCGCCGCCCTCCTCAGATAGGGAACCCTCCAGGGTCTGAAGCCTCCTGGGCACGTTCCTTGACGAACGCCCCCCCCCCGAACACCCCCCCCCTCTCCCTGACGTCCCGTGCCGCCCGACCCGAACGGCGATGACGACGGCGACGTCGGCGACGGCGGCGCCGGCGTCGACCAGGACGTCGGCGGCGCCAACGGCGTGGCCCACAGAAAAAAGGGACGACGGCGATGCCGAGGACGCCCTCCGCGGGGGCAGCGTTGGAGGCCGCCGACGACGACAAGGGCGGGGACGACGGCATCGGCGGCGACGACGACGACGACACCGACGACGACGACGAGGACGACAAACGTCGACCAACGACGACCAAAGACGACCACGAGACGACCGAAGACAACGACGACGACGACGACGACGACGACGACGACGACGCCCAGGGCCTCCTCGGGGGCAGCGCCTGAGGCCGCGCCCGGCCCCGCGGGCGCCAGCTGCGCGACCGCCGCCTGCGGGGGAGGCTTCCGCGGCGGCGGCCCCGCCGACGACGTCGCTCGCCGCCGTCGTCGACCGGCGACGTCGTGCGGCGAGGGCGGCGGCGAGGACGGCGGGGGCGCCGTCTGCGGCGGCGCCCAGGACGACGACGGGGACGGCGACGACGAGGGCGACGCAGGCGACCTCGACCTCGACGGCGGCGGCGCGGCGGCCTCGACGGCGGCGGCGGCGGCGACGACGACGACGACGCAGACCACGAGGGCGACCAACGACGACCAACGACGACCAACGACGACGCCGACGAGGACGACGACGACGACGGCGACGGCGACGATGAACCACGACGGCGGCGACGATGGATGCCTCGGCATCGACGACGGCAGTGCCGACAACGGCAGCGCCGACGATATCGGCGACGAGGACGACAAGAACGAGGCGGAGGAGGGAGGAAAGAGGGGAGGAGAGTTGATGCAGAGGGACGGGAGAGGAGGATCAAAAAGGATAAGGAAGAAGAGGAGGAACAAATGATGAACACCGGAAAAGAAAGAGGAGGATGAGAGAGAAGGGGGAAAAGTGCGGGGCGGACAACGAGGAGGGAAGGCGGCGGAGCAGGAGGAACAAATGATGAACACCGGAAAAGAAAGAGGAGGATGAGAGAGAAGGGGGAAAAGTGCGGGGCGGACAACGAGGAGGGAAGGCGGCGGAGCAGGCGGAGGAGCCCATCGTGGCAACCAAGAAGTCACAGCTACAAGAAGCTGGTGCAAGGCGCGACCACCAACACTCACGCACGCTGGATACTGAAACTCCGAAGATAATGCGGCGCACGCCAGTTCACGCCGGCAGATCATGGCCCTGGCGCGTGCACAGGTCTGCAGTACATACGGCGCGTTTGCCAAATCAAGTCTGACGCGCAACAGCTTGCGCTTGCTGACGAATTCTCTCGGGGAGGGCAGCCAACCTAGTTTCGTACGACAGTGGGCCCTCGAACTGGGGAGCTCTGGGAACTCGGGTGGTCTGAAGCTCAGGACGCTGCACTGCACGGCACACGTTGTACTGAGCAGGGAGATCAGCATCGACTTGGCGGGCGAGCCTCTTGTGTGGGCCCACCCCCTTTTCGCAAATCTGATAAGAATTCGAACCCCTTCTTAGTGGGGGGTTCGTACAACCGTCTTCATGTGTTTCGCCTGGACTGCTGAGCCCAGGCGCCACACTTGCTACACACATACACAGGGTTCAGACAGCCAGGATTCGCTGGGGACCTACCATCCTGGTCGACAACGAGCAAAGTGTGGCCTAGCGGGTCTCGAACATGCGCTGCTAGGTACGCTGGCATGCCTTTACAACCGGTGAGAGGCTTATCATGTGTGGCACTCGCTATGCACAAGCACTTGCTACACTGATCTCCTATGGCCGTCGGACTCCTCTCAGGCCAACCTACGCGCCGCACGTGCACTTTTCTGTCAGTCGGCCTCGGGCGAAGCCAACGATCTTCCTTCTCGAACATGGGGCAAGATGGCGACAACCAACTTGATGAACTTGAAGGCGAGATGCGCATACCGTCAGCAATCTGTAGTCCGAACTCATGCGCTGGCGGATCGTGGAGCTGAGCACCTCGCTTCGCATGAATATCTTCGAAGACACTGCTGGCATCCGTGATAATTTCCTGCTAGTTGCTTAACTGCGCATACTGCTCAACTGCGCGATGGGTTCTTTACATACGAAAACGTCCGCACATGATGAATCTCTGGCAACTGCGCACCGAACAACTTCACGGCACCAAAGTGAGCTCCTGAACGGAGCTGCTCAAGTGGACTCTTGGCCGCCTCACGCACGGCAGCCATGTAGTCGGCGTAGACGTCGCAGGGACGGTCCGCTGCCTGGCCGACGAAGGCAAGCTCCAAATGCTCGGCCATGGCCGACCGCTGCTGGAGCGAACCAGACACCGCCCAATGTATCACTCGGAGCGGCTTGACCACTGCGAATCACGGCAAAAAACGGCACGCTGCACGACCCGTCAACCGCGAACTCTAGCTCGGCGGCGTCGCTGCCGAGGACGTCACACATCGTCTCGGGCGTGCACTCCGCGTCGTTGTCATCGCCGTCGGGGACGCGCACCTCAGCGCCGGAGTGCAGCGGCGGCAGTAGCTCCTCCTCATAGGCGAACGCCACCGTGGTGTAAAGCAAGTCGCCGCCTTGATCGATGGCCTTCTGCACGAACTCAGCGTTGACCTCACTCTCAGCGCGGGCTGCGACCATATCTGCCCTTATGCAGGTATAGAGGCGGTCGTGCACCGTGTCGAGCTGACCGCAGCTGCAAAGGCCATCAGTGCCATAGCCTCTGTTCTTGGCACGGCCTCTGGCCGTACTCCAGCAGGCCCCCCCCTCTTTTATATGATAGCTGGAACTCCAACATGCGCTGCATGGCTTGATTGAGCAAGTCCTCAAACACCGCAAGCGTGAATTGATCGACTCCAACCTCCTGATCAGGATGATCGCGTCCCACCACCACTCCTGTGACGAGGGGCGCATGAGGAGGGTGTATGAAGAAGGGTGAGGAAACAGGAGGTTCGGCGATGCGAGCGTGCACCGACGTTCCGACGGAGTGGTTCTACGAAAGCAACTCCAGCAGGCTGAAACCATGAGAAGAAGGGACGCAAACCGTGGTGCTGGCTAGTTGCAACTACTGGTTCTAACATCACCCG